GCTGCCCGATCCTATTGGAACCCCAAGGGTCCCCGCCGGGTCCGCTCACCCCACAGCCCCCGGGCTCGTCTCTGGCTCAGCACGTCAGACCGGGTCACCGGCTCTGCCCAGCTCCTCCGGACTCCGCCTGGCGTGAGCGCTCGGGGCGGTTAGGGAACCCTGCTGCCTCCCCTCGCCCGGCTCGAAGGAAGAGAAGCAAAGCAGGGCTTGGAGCGGCCCAGTGCCCAGCGTGGCGCTCGGGGCGTCCCCGCCTCCAGCCTGAGCCCGGGAGGGCCTCGCGAGGCCCAGAGACGAGCGCCCCCTCTCCCCGCTCCTCTCTCCTTCCCCAGTGGCTCCTGCAGCCCACGCCGAACATCCGGATCCGTGGTGGCCCTGGCCGGCACCAGCGCCCTAGCGTGGAAAGGCCTCAGCGACTCAGGGGCATTGAACCTCCCTTTAGAGAGGGATTTCAACCCCGGACACCTTACGGCGACTCTGCGCTGTCAGGAGCCAGAGGATAATAAATTCCACCAAAATGTCCTAAGACCCTAGTTCTAGTCTGCAATTCAGACAATAACTAATCCTGAAAATAAGTTGCTATTATTCTTAGAGTTCAAACATGAAACCAGTTTGAACACAGATGTATTTGCGTGCAATAACTCCTCTGCGGAAGGAGTCATCTCCTTTCTTATTCTTCGGAACTGGCTTGATCAGCCCTGAAGTTTCTGTCATCAGTGTCCTCTTGTGCTGGAAACGGACAGAACCCGGCGGTGAGGAACTCACTTGCGCCCAGCCCAGCCCGTCCGCAGCTGTCCACGGTGTGTGTGGTTCTCGGAAGTTGGGAAGTTGGCTTTGGTGTCCCTTCCTTCTGACAGCCAAAGGGGAGGAACCCGGTGGTAATCTCAGAGCTTTCCCCCTTAAACCCATCCTGCCTACTTAACGGAGAAAGAGATGTGTTTGGATTTAGGAGAGCAGCTGATGAGATTCTGTGGTTTCAAGCTGTTAATATTAGTTGAAAACGTTCCTGCAAAAGCTGAGGTTTTCACGCATGATGTGACACTCCAGACATGAAAGGTCCAGCTGGTAATTTTATTTTAAAGAAATAAAAGGAAGCAAAAAAGAAATCCATGTATTCTGAAACCTTACCAAAAAGCTTTAGTGGAAAAAAGGAAAAGTTCAGTTGTTTTCATACAGACTTAGAGTGGATTTTAATAGTGTTTCCGAGTAAAAACCATTAGTGGTCAGTTCGGATGAATAGACAAAACTGCCTTATAAATGTTGGTATCTATTCAATTATTATAAAAATGTTAATTCTTACCTCATTCATATTTTCAAGTTATGTACAGGTCAATGTTAGTTTTGATGAAATGATCACAACCTTGTGAATTTAGTTTTCTCTTGAATTCGTGTTGATGTTAATGCCTATTTAAAAGATTGAGAAAAATATTTAAGATGATTTGTCTTCTGGAAATGAGCTTTTAAAAGGAGTCTTTATGAAATGGCTCATATAAAAATATGATTATTTTTGTTTAACCCATATGACTTGTTAGTTTTTCTGGGGGGTACCAGGGATTGGACTCTGGTCCTTGCACTTATGAAGCAGGTGCTGGAACCACTGAGCTAAATCCCCAGCCCATTGTTAGTTTTTAAAAGGAAAAATTAGAAAATAATTGCAGTCTACAGTATTTCTTTGGGCACAGAGAGTTAAGTCAGACAGAATGTGTCCATTATTCATTAACAGGAAGTCGTTTTTGTCTGCTTCACATTGAAAAGTCACCGTAATTGCTATGGATTTCTGAAACTGTTTTTCTGTCAAGACACATGGTCTGGAAAAACAGCCTGCAAATCAACATACTAATGTCTCTGAGACTCCTTTTTAGTACACAGGGACACAGAGCAACTTGTAGAGTTGGAATTTGGAAGCAGACTGAAGGGTTTAAACTGTTGACTTTGATTTTTGGCAGTGTTGGTGTTGATCTGTCCCCAAACTTGTGTTTATAAACTTCTTTTCAGCGGGATGCTCAGGAGATTACAAGGGGGCCACAGCAGTGGCAGACAGGTGAAGACGTCCCTCTACAGAGACGCTTCTCATGACGTGTGGAGGAAGTCCACCAGGAATCCTCCAGTACCGTAGTGTGTTGGTCTTTAAATCCATTCGATTCTGTGACTGGTTTTGAAATAATTTCACAATGACAAATAAATTAGGTATAATGGTGTCTTCAATATATTGCAGTGTGAAGTTTGATCATTGAGATACAGGCTTGCAAGACCACAGAATGGACTACATTTTTTATTTTTGCTCTTGATTTAGCCTCATACCATAAAACTGCATCTTATTTTAAGGGGAAAGTCCGCTTGTTGAATATGAAACCAGGCCTCCCCAGGTGTGTTATTTTTTGTTCATCTTTCTTTAGGAGAGGCATAATCAACTGATTTTTTAAGCATAATTTAATCCACGTTGTTACCTGAAATTTGAATAAAATTGTAATGCAAAATTTAAAAAGTAAAACATTATATAAGCCTCCTGCAGGGTATCACACAATTTATCAAAATAAAAAATAGGTATTTGTCCAGATAATTTGGAATGAAAACCTAACCATAATCACATGAAAAATCAAACAAAAGAATTCAGGTCTCAGTGTAGCTTTCACTAAGGGTATTTCTTTCCTTATTAGAAAATTAATGTCTGTTCTCGTAAGCATATGTGTTCTTTCTCCAAACTTGCATGCTTAGAACATGATCACGGCTTTAATGAATTCTGATGTGCTTGCAAATATTTTTTTCTCATTGAATTTATTGGTATACAGTACAGTTACATTCATCATTGGGAGCTTGTACCTCTACATGACAGATCTTGGTTCTCATTTTTTTCCCATGCCCCTGCCCTCCCTTCACCCCTCCAACCTTCCCTATTTACAAAAACTTTATTTCCATTTTCTCATATTTTCTCTTTTCCCTTACTTCCTTTTGGAAACATTTCAAGGCAATGATTCTAACATGCTTCAAAATGAACCCTTAGCTCTCTTTTTTTCATATACTTATTCAGTGGAAAAGTAAATTGGAAGCCCTAATCTGCAACAATATTTGTACCCATGCCCCCCACCCCGCTACTGTAGGTGGCTGTCGCAAGGTGATTGTCTGTATCACGTGTAATATATATTTGGTAATGCACATGGTAAGCAGTTGGATTTAACCATTTCACAATGCATATGTACTTCAAAACGACGTGTCATACACCATAACTGCATACCATTTGTATTTGCCAATAATAAAGTACTAAGTTGAAACAACCAAGCCAGGGAGTTAAGGAGAAATAAATATCTTTATCTCTGCGTGAGTCCTGAGAGCTACAGCAGTTACCTCGGCAGAAAGGAAATCCCGGCAGGAGGTGACAAAAGCAGGAC